GCGCGCGCAGCCCCCGCCAGCCCCGGGGCCCCACGGGTCGGGAGAGGAGACCCCCGAGCCACGCTGCCCGCCGGCCGTCCACCCCGCTGTCTCCCGGGCGGGGCGCTGACCCTCGGCTCTGGCCGCCCAGGGAGTCCGGGGCCCCGTCCCCCTCCTCCTCGCTGGCCGCGGTCTTCAGCTTGCTGCTCTTTCTCTGTGCGGGGAGACAGCAGAGTCGGACGGACGCAGCCCCGCTGTCTGCAGAGGCGGGAGGAGCTGTCCTGGGGCCGAGGGACGGCCGGGGCCGAGTCCTCTGCGCTGGGCTGGGCACGCACGCAGCCCAGATGGAGCTGTCGGGGACTCCTTGGGGAGGCTGGCCGCGGCCTGTGGGGCGGACACCCCACCTCTGGGCCCAGCGCAGAGCCGCGGACCTTGCGCCTGGAGAAGCCGCCCATGCGCCGCCTGCTGGCCGCCTGCTCCTGCCCGCACTCTGCGTCGTCATCGGCCTGGGGAGGGCGAGACAGAGGGCGCGTCCAGCCTCGCGCCTGGGCGCCCGGCCTGGGGGGCTGACCGGCCTCTGCCCAGACCCTGCGGAGCTGGAGGCCGCCTGCCCACGGCCTCTCGGCCACCGGGACAGATGCTGCCAGCGGGACTGCGGGCACTTCCTGGCCACCTGCCAGCTTCCTGCCCTCCCCAGGGGGAGGACATGCAGGGCACACGGGGCCCCTAAGAAGGGGTGCCGCCTCACACCGCCCCAGCCTGCTCGCCTGGGAGCCGGCCTGCAGGGCCCCGGGTTGCGCCGCCCGCTGCCCACCACCATCCCTGCAGGACGCCCCCAGCCTGTGGGCCAGGTGTCCACCCCGAGCCGGTGCACGAGGCTGAGTGCCGGCGCCCGCGTCCGGGAGCCTCGCTGCCCAGCCACACCCTGTGCTCCGCCCCTCAGCTGCTCCCCCTGCGCCTCCCCTGCTCCGCCCCTCCGAGCCCTGCCGCTGCCCCGCAGGGCGCCGGGCGCTCACCCTCTTGCCCTCGGCCTGGCGCCGGAGCCTGCCCGCCCCGGGGCGCGCCGACACCGTGAGGTCGTTGGGGTCCTCGCAGTCCCGGATCTTGGACTCCTTAATGAGGGAGTCCAGCTTCTTCTTGGCGATGTTCTCCACTCGCTTCTGGTTGGCGGAGGCCTGCGGGAGCCAGTTGGCCCTCACTGGCCTCCAGCCCCAGGCACTGGCGGTCGCCACTGGGCACCTCGCCTGGCCTGCGGCGCCCCACGACCTGGGCGGCCTGCCCTGCTCCCAGGGTACCAGCAGGCCGCCTACTGCACAGTGCCCGGCCAGGGCTGGGGCAGGCCAAGCACCGGTGAGCCCTGGGCTCGGAGGTGTGCAGCCATGCGGGTGTGGGGCAGTGACGGTGGCCCCGGGGCTGCCCAGACCCCCTGGGGCCCTCCAGGGCAGGAGCCGGCCTTGGGCGGGACACAAGTCCCTCGAGCTCCAGCTAGCCAGCCCGGGAGGGTGCCTGGGCCAGACCGCAGCCCCCGCTGCCTCAGGCTTTCGGGGAAGAGCCCACGGCCCCATGCTCCCACAAAACTGCTTCCCCGTCCATTGGGGTGTCCTCACACCCCGCGGCAGGCCCGGGCTGCAGAGGGGCGGAGGTGCTGACGCGAGACTCTCCCGGTCTCCAAAGGAGCCCTCCGCCTGAGCTCAGCCTCCCACCGGCTCCAGCTCCCTTCCTCCTCCCTTCCTGGGGCAGCTGCTGGACACACCCCTGCCTGGCGCACCCACACCGGTCTGGGTGCCAGGAGGGCTCCTGGCAGCTGGGTAGACCGAGCAGAGCTGGTAGACCAGATAAAGCCCAGAGAGCAGGGCCAGCACCCAGCAGGCCGACTGCGAGGGGCCGCGAGGCCCAGGAGGCGGCTCCTCCCGGGAGCCCTCGCCGCGAGGCCCAGAGGGCTAATCAGGCGGCACCAGATTGGCTCAGAAGTGGGAACTGACACAGGGCACCAGCCTGCGTGTGATGGCGGTGCCAGGTGCATGGCCCGTTCCCAGGGACGCGGGCGCAGTGCGGGCCGCCCGCCAAGGCCCCAGCCCCACTCACGCCGCCCTCGAGCAGCTTGTAGTCCTCCTCAATCTCGTCCGCACTGTCCTCGTCAGACACCTCCCCCGCCTCTGCGTCCTCGCTGATGCTGGCCGGGAGCTTCTTACCCTGGGGGAGGGACACAGTGGGAGCCCGCAGAAAGAGGGGGCCGCTGCCCACAGGAGTGGGGGCAGGCCCGGCGCTCCGCCCTGCAGCACCTGAGGGAAGCACACCTAGGGGTCCACGCGGGACCCCAGATCGAGTGATCACTGTGGAAATGAGGCCCAGTCAGAACCTATCCTGACCCCTCAAGTCTCCAGTGTGTCTGGAGCAGCCCGACCCCAGCTGGACCGCAGGTCATGTGCAGGTCAGAGGCCCAGCACGAGTGTTGGCCCAGGATGGGCAGGCAGAGGCTCACCTTCACCAGGATCTTGCCCTTGAGCATCTGTGGAGAAGGCAGCATGGTGGCATCCTCGCCACTTACTGAGGACAGGTCCAGCTTGTCCCCAAGGATATCTGTTAGGTACTGGGCCATCTTCTTCTGCTGGGCAACACTGCAGTGGTTCTCAATGGACAGGATTACAGGGTACCTGGCCCCAAGATGGACGAGCACGGTGAGACCCCACCTCTGTAGGTGCTCATGCACCTGCTGCCAGCCACTCCAGAAAGGGCCCCCCAGAGGCCAGATAACATGGAGTGGGTGGGAAAGGAGCTGGGTCAAAGGGCATGAAGAAGACACAAACTTTCTTTCCCCAGTAAGGAAAAAAAACAAAGGCTATTCGTAATTCCGGGAAAACAAAAGGAAATGTTTTAAGTCATGTTTTAAAAATAATACAGCTTCATGTGGCGTGCTGCAAAGATTGCAAGAAAAAGAATCCCATCGACCTAGATGCCGGAGACACTGTCCTGTGGCCGGCCCTGGGGTCCTGACACTAGCCCCATTAAGGAGAGGCCTGAGCTGGAACACACCATCGGGCAGAACATTGTTAGGACATGCATGATGCATCGCGAGGACTGCAACATCTAGCTTTGCACTAGAAGCTCTTCCGTTGCTTGACTTTTTTTAACTATGTGCACAGAGGCAAACTCGACCTTTTCCTAACATGTAGGTGACTAAGACCTACCCGGCATGAGAGAGGCGCATCCTGTGATGTGGACGGCAGACGGGGCTTAGGAGAAGGCACCCATCTCCCGTTCCGTGGGCCTGAAGCCCGGGCCCCGGGGGAGAGCCCTGTGCCTGCAAGACTCCCCTGGCATGTGGGATGGAGCCCTATCCCGAGACCCGAGAGAGGTTAGGCTTCTGTGCAGCCCCGGGAGGTCTGTGTGTCCCGGCTCCCAGAACCCCTCATCTAAAATTCCAAAGGCCGGGCTGCCCTGCAGTGCCCCCTCTTCACCCTTCCTGGACACCTGAGACAGCCAGCCCGCTCTCCCAGGAGGGCCCCTCTATTTCTACTCATAAATCACCCTGCTTCTCCCTCCTTCATTCACTTAGCTCCTTTCCCGCCTGCAAGCCTGGGCCTCATCTAGCCCAGACCTGAAGGTAACTGTTACAGCTCGGGGAGGTGGGAGGCAGGTTTCTATTTCCAGAAACTAAATTGGATTTTGTTCAACTATAGCTACAGTTGAGTGACAGTCAATTAAGTCTGGGCACAGAGTAGCTTCTGGGGCACTAGTGCGAAGCCCCGCTGGGCCGCCTGGCCAGCAGCTGCACCGCTGCTGGGGCCCACAGCCCCTCCCGGCCGCAGTTTCCTCACCCCCGCGCCTCAGCCCCCACCAGAGACCCCGGAGCAGCCCAGTCCCAGCGCGGCCCTGAGAGGCCCCAGGGCTGAGCCGCCCCCGGCCGCCCCTCACTCGTTTTTGATGAAGGCGTATTTGTTGATGGTCTCAATGACGTCTCTGAAGAGGATCTTGGAGGTCAGGGTGTAGCCGTGGTGGACGATGGGCTCCCCGTCGGGCCCGTCCCAGCAGTCCACTGCGCAGGAGGCCTCGGTCAGCCCGGGGCCCGGACGCTGACGCGGGGGCCGCAGCCCGGCCTCCCAGAGGGCTCGGCGGCGCCCCGGCTCACCCTCCACACAGCGGCAGCCGGCCTGCAGGACGCGGGCGTACATGTCCACCCGCGACTGGGACAGGAGCTGGTCACCCGCGAGGTAGGTGTTGTGGGAGGACGTGATGAAGTAGTGGCTGAGCGGCCGCGTCATGTCCTGGTGCACCCCGTGGTGCTCGGGGTTGGCGATGTCGCCCGCCGGGCTGCGCATGTAGTCCGTGAAGCCTGGGGGCGGCGGGGCTCAGGGCCGCGGGGCGGGCTC